ATATCATGCTAGAAATCAGCTCTCCTGAGGGGAGATGCACTCTTCCTTGAGTTGTCACTAAAGTTAAAGATTTTTAAAAGGTACACAATATCCCTTAATTTACCTGAATTTCAGGTCAGCATTAATAGAAAGTTTGGACAAGGTTTTTGTACTGAACAAGAATCACTATTTGTTACAAATAATTAGACTCTAGCAAAAGTAAACAGTTATAAACTATATAATTAATTAAAATGCTAATCCCCTTATAAACTCCCCCTTACAAACAGTCAAACAGACAGGATAAAATAGGTTTTGGACAGAGGGGAAAAGCTGGAAAACAGTTTAGTCATCTACGTTCCCAGGTTCTGTTGTTGAGATGTTCCTCGTGACTCTTCTGCTGGTCAGCATGTTTCTTCAGATATCTTTCCCCAGGTGCTTTCACTGGTTGGTAAGAGATGGTATGTGATCAGTTCACTTATAAAAAGTCTCTGATTTATCAATTAAAGGTCAGACCTTACAACAACTGTTGTAGGAAAGACCACTTCAAGCCTGAAAAAAAAAGTTTAATTTTGACTGTAGAGAATGGAGAGACCACTCCAGAGCTGGGGAAGAATTGAACACTTCTCTCTGTCTACAACTTGTTCCCAGCAGCAAGCAGTTCAATTACCTGAGAACCAAGCACACAGGTGGTGGTAAGCAACTGGTCTCGTTCATCAATAGCTGGTCACCTACCTATAAACAAATCAACTTGTTGCCAACAAAAGCTGCATCTGTACACTCTTCTGGCTCCAAATTGTCTGCAACTCAAACTTCACTGTCTACTTGTTTAAACAGCTGTTTACTTGTTTAAACAGCTGTTTACATGATGCTTGCAATGGATGTCAGGTTACTTGCATTTCAAAACTGCTACCAACCTTTCAAATTCTTCCTTTAAAACCATTCTTTCCCATTTCAGTCCACAGCTTTTAAAAACACAAAATAAAAACATACATACACTACTAATGTTTGCTGCCCTTGCTGTTTTGTAGCTCCACCCAAACAGATTCTATATCCCATTCTTCCAATAGGAGATCCTCTTTCACTAATGCACTGTGCTTTGATCCCAGCTACTGGTACTACTGGACAAGTCAGATCGCAGATTGAAACTTGGCTTGATAGATCATAATTTTAATACATTTATTTAATTAAAGTGAGTCAGTGAAACATACTCATGAGGCAGGTGTTCTTTAACAACAGAACATAAGTTTTTTTCGCAAAAAATACTAAACTGCATGTATTTAAAAAATAGAGATCTGAACACAATCATCAAAACGAAGCTTCAACCTGTTCCCAGCACATATCCATTACAGAGACTCAAGTCCAGAGAAATTACATCCCTATCTCAACTCTTTAGGTTTCCACTGAACTGACATCTTCCAGACTCTTGCAGGTCAGACAGCATCCATGGAGAAAGAGCAAGTTAAAGTTTTGAATCTAGTTGATTCTTCAAGGGAGCTGAAGTGAAGATGAAGAGTCATTTATACTCAAAATGTTAGCTTGCTCTCTCTATGAATGCTGCCTGACCCGCTGTAATCTCTAGCATTTGTTGTTTTCAGTACAGATTCCAGCATCTGCAGTAATTTGCTCCTCTTCCAGATTTTTTTCTGAAAACTGTGGAGACAATTTAATAAAACAGTGTGGAGCTGGAGCAACACAGTAGGCCAGGCAGCAGAGGAGCAGGAAAGTTGACGTTTCAGGTCGGGACCCTTCTTCAGAAATGGGGGAGGGGGAAGGGAGCTCAGAAATAGAGAGGAGGGGTGGGGCTGGGGAATATAGGTGGGATGGTGATAGGTGAGTGCAGGTAGGGAGTGGTGGTGATTAGTCATTGAAGTGGGAGGGGTGGGTTGGAGGGAGAGAAGATGGGTAGACTGTGTCAGGTCAAGAAGGTGGGGATGAGAGGGAGGGTTGGTCATGGGATGAGGCCGGGGGTGGGGAGATTTTGAAACTGGTAAAATCCACGTTTAGGCCTTTGGGCTGTAGGCTGCCGAGGCGGAATATGAGGTGCTGCTCCTCCAGTTTGTGGGTGGTGTCATTGTGACACTGGAGGAGGCCCAGGATGGACATGTCACCCAAGGAGTGGGAAGGGGAGTTGAAGTGGTTCGCAACCAGAAGGTGTTGTTGTTTGTCATGAACAGAGCGCATATGCTCTACAACACTGCCTGTCATAAACTCAAACGTATAAAGATCTTTCCATTAACACCACAGGGATCTCAAGAGGGTTGAGTGTCTTCAGAATTCCCTTCTTCAAAAGGTAGTGGATGTAGAATCTTTAAATAATTTTAAGACAGAGGTAGATAGATTTTAAGGGATGTGCAGGAATGTAAAGTTGAGTCTCAAGTCAAATCAGCCATGCTGTTATTGAATGGCGGAGTAGACTGTACGTTACCCATCAGCCTACGCTTGTTCTTTGTTTGTATTTTTGTAATCACATACTTTCCAAGCAACGCTGCATTTAAATGGTCATGATTCCAGAATGACTTGCTGACCTTTCAAAAAAAACTTCATTAAACAGACCCATATTAATCTGCCTCTCCTCTCAGAATGATCAAAAACACAAATATCAGCATGTTTTACACTTCTTTCATCACAATTTATCCCTCCTCTTGTTGTATGCATCACCCATTTCCTTGTCCTTTTTGTGTATCCCTCCTAACCTCCAAATATTCTTTAATATTCAGTTCCTAGTCCTGGCTACACTGCAACCACGTCTCCAATAATGACAATTAAATCACTCCCTTTTGCTTTTGCTAGTACTATCAGTTCAATAATTTTGTTGCAAATGTTATATGCATTCTGAGAGTTCTTTTAATTCTGTCTTTTATTCACTATTCTGTAATATGACTGTTGTTACATCTATGATTTGTTTCTTACAGCTTTCTTACTTCCCTCATTCTATATGAACTCCCTCTTTACTTCCCATTCTCCTAAGAAGCTAGTTTGAATCCTCCCCAACAGGACCAGCAAATTTTCCCTTGAGGATATTAGTCTCAGTCCTGCAAATTGTCATACGGGAGCAATCCGGGGACTACTGCCTCAGAAATCTAGCTTTTCAGTCTCTTGCCGAGCTCTCTAAATTCCACTTTCAGGATCTCATTGCTCTTTCTACCCATGTCATTCCCACCCAATGTGGTCCACAATCTCTGGCTGCTCTCCCTCTTCCAGAAGACATCCTTGATCCTGAAACTAAGGAGGCAACATTTTTTTTTTCTTTATTTATTAACAGGATGAGGGCGTCACTGTCCAGGCCAGCATTTATTGCCCATCCCTAATTGTCCAGAGGGCAGTTCAGAATCAACCACGTTACTGTCAGTCTGCAGTCACATGTAGGCCAGACCAGGTAAGGATGGCAGTTTCCTTCCCTAAAGGGCATTAGTGAACCAGATGGGTTTTTTCAACAATCAACAATGGATTCATGGTCATTATTAAATTCTTAATTCCAGATATTTGTATGAAATTCAAATTCCACCATCGACCTTGGCGGGATTTGAACCTGGGTCCCCAGAACGATACCTGGCTTTCTGGATTAACAGTCCAGCGATAATGCCACTAGGTCATCGCCACCCCCATACATTGGGGAAACGAAGTGTAGACTTGGCGACTGCTTTGCAGAACATCTGCGTTCTGCTTGCAAAACAGACCCTGAACTACCTGTTGCCTGCCACTTCAACGCACCACCCTGCTCCCTGGCCAACATCTCTGTCTCTGGCTTGCTGCAGTGTTCCCACGAAGCACAACGCAAGCTGGAGGAACAACACCTCATTTTCCGCTTGGGGACCCTACAGCCCTCCGGACTCAATATTGAGTTCAATAATTTTAGGGCCTAAACTCTCTCATGTCCCAGCCCCCCACCCCACACACCACGCCTTGTTACCACATAGCCTGCCATTACACACCCCCTGTTGTTAGTCACTAATAGTCCCCATTAACAACCCTACTCACCCTCCCAGCCTGATCGTTAGCAACTCGTTTGTCTGTCCAACTGTCTTTCTCTCTCTTTGGACTCTATCCTATCGTTTACTCCCTACCCCACCCACCTCCCTATTTTCTGCATATAAACTGAAGAGTCACCAGACCTGAAACGTTAACTCGGCTTTTCCCTTCACAGATGCTGCCAGACCTGCTGAGCTTCTCCAGCAACTCTGTTTTTGTTGCCACCCCCATACATACCATTGTGGAGTTGTTTCTAGGGTCTCAAAAACTTCTCTGTTCTCTTAACACTGAATGCTTGTCCATGTTGCCTTTTGACTCTTCTGTACCCCACACCCCTTGCCATGTGCAGCTCAGTCTCTTGCTGCATTCCTTTGATGAACCATTGCCCTCACCAGTATCCTATTTGGAAAATAGGTTAGTGAGTGAGATAGGCTCAGGGGATTCCTGCAGTAACTGCCTGGACTTTCTACGCTCCTACCAGTCATTTATTTCCTCTCTGCATGCCAGGTCTTAAACTGCAGTCTGACCACTTTTTAAAATTCCACTACCACATAGTTCTCGACTTCATGGATGCACCATGCACTGTGGCTCCAACCTCCACTCAAGTTACTGAATTTGGAGCTGAGGTTTTTGAAGCTGGAGACATTTTCTGCACATGATCATTTAGACCACATGATGCATCCACAACTCCTCACCTGGCTCAGGATGGGCATTCCACAGTCAAGTTATCCTGCCATACCTTAAGCCTACTTTCAGACTATTTACCATAAACTGCAGTTAAGAAAGCAGAAAGTAAAATGACTCACCGATTGCTGCAATGCATCTAGCTCTATTTCTACCTGCCTGTCTTGGGGTCGCATTCTTAGCTGCTTCTTTTGCTAATACCAACTGCCTGTCTCAGTGTCCTCTTTCACCTGCACCTTTAGGTGCTGCTGACTTCCTGACTCAGTATCCTTCTCTCACCTATCCTCTAGATAATTTTTGCTTTTGCACAAATATACTTTATTCATAAAATAATCTTCATGTACATACAGTTACAAAAGCAGTTCAGTTCTGTACATTTTTTGCATATTGAAAAGAAACAAACATTGGAATTTGACTTTCTCTAAAGTTACAACAAACTCAAAGACATTTCTTAATTATGCAAAGTACTATTTGCATGTATTTGAGGCAGCATGAGGGTCCAATAACTGAATGGAACCCCAATTATCTTCAGCAGGAAGACCACGGATCATGGTCTTTCTGCACTGTGCCTTGGTGGCAGCTGCTCCAGGCTTTTGTGCATCCCTCAGCATTTATTTTTGGACCATGAAATGTGCCAGTCTGCAACGTTCAGTTGGGGTCCTTGTTCTGGAAGACCAAAAAGCATCACTTACAGAGGTGATGGTCCTCCACGCGTAGTCAGTTTGTCTTGGTATGCGTCCTGGGAAGCAGCCCATAGTACACAGCATCCTGTAACAAGCGCTGCTTGGAAAGAACCTTGACAAAAACCACTGCATCTCTCTCTCCAGACTTCATTTGCGAAAGTATACTGCCGAAGGAGATGTGTGACAATCACGTCCCCCCCTGCAGCCACTTTGAGGGCAGTGTGCGGTGGCGCAGACCAACTGGGCATTCATGAAGGATCTCACAGTTACTGCTCTTCTCACCAGCAGCCAAGCGACGTCCTGTTGCTTGTTGGAAAGTTCTGGTGATGAGGTATTCTGTCAAATGACTTTGACATTTTGCTCAGGGAATGACCTAACATGATCAACCTTCTCCTATTCCTGCAGGGTCTCGAGGATGCTATGTGCTGACCACTTCCTGATGGACTTGTGGTCAAAGGTGTTTTCCTTTCACAAATTTCTCCACGAGGGACAGGGTGATACAGAACGGTGATACTCGCAGCATTCTGCAGCAACAAGGCAAGACCTATCCTTTTTAACACTGGGGACAGGTAGAACCTCAGTACATAGTAACACTTGCTGTTTGTGTACTGAGGGTCTATGCACAGCTTGATGCAGCCACACACAAAGGTGGGCATCAGGATGAGAGTGGCATTGGATACATTCTTCCCGCCCTTTATTTAGAGCTTTATACATGGCATCCCTTCAGACTTGGTCCATCTTTGACCTCCAGGTGCATTGTAAGATGGCTTGAGTAACTGCAGCAGCACAGGCTTGGCAAAAAGGCAAGACCTGCGTCACATACAACAGAGAGGATGCCTCACAACTGATGACCAGGTGTTTACCCGTGATGGAGAGGCAGCCCTGCCTGATTCCAGAACTGATCAGGAAGCTTGCTGATTCCCACACACTGAATAAGACTGCAGTAACGATTTTGGTGTGCAGCAGTCGAGTCCAATGGTGGATTCCTTCCCCAAAGCCCATTTTGGAGAGCACATCCCACATGTATGTGATAAAAATCAAAAGAACAGTGGATGCAAAAAATCAGAAACAAAAACCTACTGGAAAATCTCAGTAGGTCTGGCAGCATTTGTGAAGAGAAATCAGAGTTAACGTTTTGGGTCCGGTGACCCTTCCTCAGAATGTAGGTGTGTGATATCCTGTCAAAGGCCTTCTCCTGGTCCAGGCTGATGAGGAGGCAACCACCTCCTCATCCTGCACATAGGTGATTGTATCCCTGAGGAGTGTGAGGCTTTCAGAGATCGTCCTGCCTGGTACAGCACAGGTTTGGTTGGGGTGAATCACTGATCCCTGAGCAGACCTGATCCGGTTCGTGATGACCTTGGACAGGATTTTGTAATCCATGCTCAACAGTGAGATTGGTTGCCAATTTCTAATTTCATCCTTCTCCCCCTTCCACTGGTAGATGAGGGTGATGATACCTTTCCTCATGGATTTGCACATGTTACCTGCCAGAAGCGTACTGTTGTATCCTTCCTTCTAGCTGGTCTTGGCCTATCAAGTCCCACAGAGCAAAATACAACACAGCTGGTAAGCTGAGATAGCAAGAACTACAGATGCTAGAGTCAGAGATAACAAATTGTGGAGCTGGAGGAACACAGCAGGCGACGCAGCATCAGAAGAACAGGAAGGCTGACGTTTACGGTCAGGACCGTTCTTCTTGCTTCTGGGAATGTGCCTGTCTCAGTGTCTCTTCTTGTCTGCTCCTCTAGGCCTGCTGGTCCTCCAGATGCTGGTGACCATCTATCCCCAGGGCTTCTCTTCTTGCTTGCTCCTCTGCCACAACATGGTGACACCATCAGAAGCAGGAGTTTCCATACTTGTGCTATTAAAAGTCCTGGTTTAGCATCCTGTTTTCAAAAGCGGTGGCTCAGTTATGTGGGGTGTTACAGGACGAAGTTGAGGATTTATCATTCTGGTCAGAGAGAGGAAGGGCAGAGGGAATAGTGAAAACTTGGCAAAGGTGAGAATAAGAGGAGGAATGGAGTCAAAGTAAAGTGAAGTTGAAGAACCTGATGGAGAGCTATTTGTATCCAACTGTACTACAGCTTGAGATCCTTAACACTTAATGAAGATTTGAGTTAAAGACTTAAATGAGGCGAAGGATGAAACTGCCCCCAACTTCAAGCTGGTCTGGAGGACTACAGGAAGAACTGACACCACCGTTCGATCTTCCTCTGCCTGTTCGTTTTGGACGCTTGCGGTCCTCCAACGTGAGCGCCCCCTGGTAAGGAGGACTATAATCGCAGCTGGCGCCGCCGCTCGTTCTTCCACTGCGTGTCGTGTTGGAGGTCCTCCACGGTGTCCGCCCCCTGGTTAGGAGGACCTATGATCGCAGCTGGCGCCGTTGCTCGCTCGCTCTCCCTTCTTTCACTTGTCCTTCACGCCATGACGTCAGGTACCGGAAGGTCAGAGGCTGTGAGCGGAAGTAAGTGCTGGAGTGCTCCGCCATTGTGTGTGTGTGTGTGTGAGAGAGAGGGAGAGCAATTACCGTCCCCTATAGGGGCAGCCAGCACCACCTCAGCAAACATCATACACACACACCGGGGAGGGGAAAATAAAGCTGCACGGCGGAGACTAAACAAACCGCGGCGTCGCCCTCTTGTTGGGCTTTTTCCAAAAAAAAATTGCAATTGTTTGAACCGGTATTGCCTCAGGCTGGTGCTGGGAGCGCGGGTTGAAGAGGATTCGGCCGAGCCGGAGGCCGAGCTCCTGCCGCCCGCCTGCCGCTGCTCTTTGATGAAGAATGTCTGCTACCAGCGTGGATCAGGTGAGTGCCAGGCGGAGAGTGAGGGCTGAGTCTGGGCCACCGCCTCACAGGCCGTGACTCCTCTCCCTCTCATCATTTCCTGTCGTTTACAATCGTTTACAAGGTGTGTTTTTTTTTATTTTTTTAAATATAGTTGTTAATATTTAATTCAGAATTTCCATAAGGTACTGACGGGTGTTTTCTTCTTTTTTGTGTGTTTTTTTTGTTTCCTTTTGTATTTTTTGCTTTCTATTAAACACGATACTACATCAGAGACCGAAAGGCCAGGGAAGTAAAGGTGAGTTGGTCCGTTACTCAATCTGTTTGATTTCACACAGACTGAGTGCTTTGACTTTTTTTGTATCTTTTTGTTTGCTTTGCTAGTGTGCGCTTAACTTGATTTTCCTAACATCAACACCTTTTTTTATTTCATTTCTGAAATCATTAAGTCAAACTTTGAAAACTTTTAAATGTTTTCTGCACTTGTACCAAACTTAAGAACGCTTTTAATATTCATGTAGCAAGACATGATTTCAAACTTTGGGGCAACTTGCTCCTACAGGAAAAATGAGCTTCCCACCTTTTAGTAATTGAATCAAGTATTAATTTATCCTGATTTTCTACATATAAATGTAGTTACATGTTGTTCAGGCTGAAGCCCATGGTGCTTTATCACTTTAATTTCATTTGTTTACACTTTTAAGTTTTCAAATTATTTTCTTTCTCTTTCAAATTCTTAGTTGAAGTTATTAAATAAATATAATGTTGATTTCAGTTTTAAATTGATTAATTATAATCTTAATACAAATAGTTTGAAACCTTGATTTATTTCTAAATGCTGTAAAATGGTTATTTTAGTTAAACATTCAAAATTGACTCGAGCATATTTTCATGTAAGTGCTAAACACAGTTGGACTGTTGTGTTATATCTTTGAGGCACTCAGCCAAGTTTTTGTGTGTTTGAATGCAAACACAATATCTAGTTGGCATGGATGAGTTGGACCAAACGGTCTGTTTCTGTGCTCTACATTTCAGTGACATTAATGAAATTTTTAGGCATTCATGGAACTTCATTTATTCAGTTTATAAATTAGTTGATTGAAATACTGCATCTGAAGACTAAAGAAAGAACTTTCTTTTCTGTTGTAACGCTTGTGCTGACCTCGCTTCATTTGTTGATTATGCCATATAGAGCTGTATACATGTAATCTGCAGTGGAGGGGATGGATTGGGTGTTAGTGCTACCCCCCTCATTGACCGGAACTTTTTGTAGCAGGGCATCCAATAGTATCTGATATTAGCCTTACTTTTGCATGTGTAGATTTTTAATTTTGCATGAAAATGCAAGCTGATGGTGAAGGAAGGGAAATGGCATTTGGGACTTTCCCAAGTCGAACTAGGGGAAGCAATTGTATCCCCATAATCAAACAGATTGAAGAATTGTGAAATTAGTTGTCAATCATTGTGCAAAATATCAATTGGTGACCAAATTCAGGTATAGGCCAGTTGCAGAATGAAAAATAGAGAAAAGAAAGATGAGATTGAAAGAAATGAGACACAGAAGGGAAAAATATTTTTTACATTATTCAAGTCTCCGGCCAACTTTAAAATAATGATTCTGTGACAAATTGATTCATATATGACATGCGCCCACGCACAATTTTATAATTTAATACATTTCAGAGGTGAGACAGTTGCTGAGATGAGCTTTCATAATAATCATAGTAGTTCGGCACAACTTGACAATCAACTTTGGATAATCAAGTTGACAGATTTTTTTGTCTAAGGCTGTGTGTCATTTGCACGTAAATAATAGTGGGAATCTGTTATTTTGACAACAACTTGAGCCATTATATTTGAAGTTGAAAGTGAGTTGGTCATTTAACTGATTCTTGTAGAATTGTAAAATATTTGCAGTTTCTCCAGGAAAATTCAATCTTTGTCGGTGTGCGCACGTTGTGTGATGGCACACACCCAGTACAGTTTCTGTGCTTGCATGGTGTAGTAACACGCACTCAGCTCTGTTGCTGTGCCCATATTATGCAGTAACACACGTCCAGCGTTCAGTTGATGTGACCTCATTGTGTGATAATACATTCCCAGTGCTGTGATGTGCCCACATTGTAGTGGTATACATCCACAGCTCTGGTGTGCCCACATTGTGACAACACACACCCACTGCTCTGTCAGTATGTCCACATTGTAGTAGCATACACTCCCCGCTCTATTGGTGTGCCCATATTGTATAATACACGCCCACTTCTCTGCTATTATGTCCACATTGTGATAACGCGGTCAGTGCTCTCTGTGTGCCCATGTTGTCCAATAACACTCCCAGACCTCTGGTGTGCCTACATTGTGTGATGAACAATGTGTAAGAATGTACACGACTCTGACTTCTCTTCCTGTTTGTGTACACTTGGTGCATCCGGCTAATTGTAATGTATATTGGTCACTATTGAAGTGAACTCAAGTGGTTAAACTGTTGCAGTTTGATGAAAAGTTTGATTTCCAGCTGTAGAGAGGCCTTCTTTAAAGGTTCTAAGATTTGCCACCATTTGAATGCCATGTAGAAGTAATTTGTTTGATCGCTGGCATGGAGGAAGTTTGGCATTGACTCACTGTATGGCCAGTTGATCTGTTGGAGTGGAAGCCAATCTGAAGTTCAGATGATTTTTCTAACAGTGGATATGTCTTTTGAGAAAATAGTTGAGCCTTACTAATAACCGAGGATGGGATTTCTAAACTTCAACTGCAAGTTTGAACTTTGTAGTTAGGTTAATTGTTCACCTTCTCAGACCTTGACTGCATTGATAGTTGATGTCTACACAAAAACTGTTCAACTGAATTATTCATTTATCCACAAAATAGATGTCAACTATGTGCCCAACAGTATAACATGGAACTAGTATGTCTTGTGCAGTGTGAAATTGCTGACTAGGCACAGGTACATTTGAACCACATGCACTAATTTTACTGGAAAATATCTTTTACACAAACAATGCAGGCAAATGTAATTCATGCACAACTATTTATTTAATATACTTTTGCCACTCTGTAACTAAGTAAGTATGCAAACAAACAAAATATCTGTATTGTTTTTGTCTTATTGTTTACCAATAAATACCAAAAATATGTCCCTAGCAATGGAATGTATTGCAGTGACTTTATTTAGACTAAATTTGATAAGAGTAGAAATACGATGGACACATGGGGATTCCCAATTGGTCATATAGGTAATAGCTCTTGCACTCATAAATTTGCCTGTCTTTTCAGAGAAATATGAAGAAATAGGGATTTCACTGAAACCTAAATGGCCATAGCTGATTTGTCACCTGCATAAAACTTGTTATTAATAGCAGCTATTTATTGATGTGTGAATCAATTCATTACAAATTAACTGTAATTCCATTTTGGACCCTCTGAAACAAGCATTTACACAATAATAAAACGATACTGCAATATGTTTTAAACTGTCTGTAAAATTTAAATGTCATACTTTCTCGTGCAAAATTCTCAACAATGATAAAAGGTAAAAGGGCAACAAACAGCAATTACCTGCAGCATTCAGATTGTCCCTAGCTCTAAACTAATTAGTGCATGAACTTATCCCACGATTACTTTAGTCTTTGTGAGATAAATAATGACTTATCTATTATATGTTACAATATTCCTGTGCTTTCAGCAAATCTGACTTTCAATTAGCATTGCACCAGGGACTCTTTAATTTTTGATAAAAACACTAACTATTTGGATCCATCAAGCAGTTACAGATGAGAAAGCAATTTTTAAAAACTAACAGGTAATTAATGCTGGGAATTTCTGACCAGGAATTTAAATTAATTACTACTTCTGCAATTTGCAAAACTGCCTGGCCCAAGAACATTTTAAAAACAAAAGAAAACAGTAGGCCATTCAGCAAGAGTTTTGACTTTTCAGCACTATCCCCACATCCTTTAAGTGCCTTAATATCAAATTAAAACTTCTGTCTTGAATGTGTTCAACAAAGGAGCATCCACAGCTCTCTGCGGCAAAGAATTCCAAAAGTTTGCCACTGTTGTATTAAGAAATTTCTCCTTGTCTCGATCATAAATAACTGACCCCTTATTCTCAGGCAGTGATCTTGTCTGAGTTCTGGATTGCCCAGCCAGGGGAATCATTTTCAATTTTGTTTCATGGTCATGTCATATTTTTCTAAACTGCAGTGACTGTAGGATTAGTCTAATTTCTTCAAGGTCTCCTCTGTTATCTGACGTGTCAACGGACCTCTTGTATTAAACTTGATCTTTCTCTGCACCTTCTCTGACTGCAGCACTATATTCTGCATTCTGTTCTGTTACCCTGATGTACTTATGTGAGGGATGATTTGTCTGGTTAGCACATAAAACAACACTTTTTGCTATCTGTGCATGTGACCATAAAAGAATCAAATCCTGAAAGTAATGTCCCTCATCACAGAAACCAGTCGAGTGAACTTTGGTTGCGCACACTTGAGCAAATGAAGAACACTACGCATAGTATTCTAGGTATGGTCTTCCTGATGTCCCCTATAACTGTAATAATGATTTCTATATTTTTATGTTCCATCTGTAACAAAAGCTAACATACTATTTGCCTTCCTAATTGTTTACTGTACCTGCATATTAACTTCTTTTCATATAGGAGGCCACCCAATCTTCTCTGAATGCAATGTGTCCCCAATTTGACCCACCATTCAAGAAGTTCTTTTTCCATACATAAATGGATGACTTTATACTTTGCACAGTGTTCCATCTATCCTATTTTTGCCCTCTCTAGACCTGATTTTATGTGTACGTTATACTTACCTGGCAGGGGAGATACCACGATCAGTACTTAGTTGATCTTATTACCTCAAATTCGATCACCACTACTGTAGCAGAATTTATTACCATCAACAATTTAAAAATCCAGTTCTTTTAAAAGGACAAATATTTAATTTGAATAAGTAATATCTCAGGAAAGCCAATTATATGCACGTGCAATTTTTTGTATATGCTGTACTTTCTGTCGCAAAGAATCTTAAAATGCTTGTGTTTTCAAAGTTTCACATTGTAATTCACACAGTTCACAGAACAAATAATTAAAATCTGACCTAAGGCTTTGTTTACTCGTGCAGTTGGACATTTTTTGGCGTTAATATTGCACCTTAACCAGCTTACATTGTATATTTCATGGTAGAATGTTTATACTATTATAAAACTATGCATCATTCAATTTAGTGAGGTTTTTTTGGGACAGTTTCCTTTTCACTTTTGGAGGGAAAAGTTTGTTTTGGACTATTAACCATTTGAGCTTTGTGATGAGAAGTGACTGATGATGTCATGTAATTATGCTAGATATCTTTTGCATTCATATTATAGTTCTGAATTATTCAAGATTATCCTTTGAGATAATACCATTTTTGAAAGACTGTGATCTGCAACTTGCAGACTACACAATGTTCTAGTTCAGAGTACTATGTATGTTCATACACTGTGTTCTGAAACTGCTTTATAAATTCATTAGCATTTCATGAGACACCTGTCCTTTTTCCACCATTGAATCTGATGTATTCTGTTACACTGTCTAATGTAAAATAAACTTTAAAAAGTTAATTTTCAAAAGTGGCTGCTTTGTTTAAGAGACATTTTCTAATGGAATGCTTTCCATTACAGTTCAGAACGGTTCAATGCATCAAAAAGACTCAGTGAACGATGATGATTTTGAACCTTATTTAACCAGCCAGACGAATCAGGTAATTAACTTCTAATCTTCAAAATTCACTAAATTTTGTGCTTTGTGTACATTCCTTTGTTAGAATTGGAAATGTATTCACAATAGAAAGGTTTTATTTCCATGAATTTGTTAGTGGTCTTGACTTGTTAAATACATATGTAAAATTACTGTACTAAAGTGGTGAAAATAATTTTTGCTAGAAATATTTTCTTGTGCAGCATGGTTAAAGCAGAATTTTCTTTTTTTACAAAATGTATCCTCATTAACTCAAAATAATTTGTGTGAAAGTTGCAATAGTGAATAGCAATCCTGGCAAAGAACCATTTGAAGGCAAATAGTGTAGAAATAGTTGGGCTAGGTGCACAGCTTTTCTGGAACCAGTGTGGTCAGTCAGTCATCTATAACTGGCAGCAGTATTAAATGCTGACAGACTCTGCTACCTTCATGGTATCTTGAAGTCTGTCTCTTGTACCACTCCCCTTACTTTTCAATGCTGCTGCTGAAATTGGGTTTGTCGCAGACAGCGCAACATTTTTGGGTACTTACTAAAATTGGCAATTAAATTACTTCAATACCAAGACATTTGACAAGTTAACACTTGTGTGTTTGTGAATAGGTCAAAAGAAAGCAATTTCAAAGCACAAATTACAACCTCTGTTGCAAATTCTTGTTAGCACCCTAAAGATAAAATATTTTGCGTGACTTGCTGGATAGCAGGCAATGTCTATTGAGTCATCATTCAGGAAGGAGATGGAATTTGAGGTAAAGATTGACCAAAAAATTTAAAAAAGTACCTAAAAACGTAAGCTGAGAGCATGTTAGTTTATTTTCAGATCTTCTATTTAAACTGTCTTTTTTTGATATGTATAGCACTTTTATGGTAATCTAATTTGAAAGCACTTTAATTTATTGAATTGTTAAGTGCAGTTCCCATTTTAAATAGGCAACAAGCTAGCTAAATAGCGTTTGTGTTTAGTCATGTTCTATAGTTTTTTTATTGTAGTTATGAACAACTTCTGGAGCATGTAGGATTTGATCCAGAGGTAGGGACACTCTCATTATGAACAAGAGCCCTCAGCAAAGTCCTGTACAGAGACAAATGGCCTGTAAATTTGTTATTGCTAGTGACCAAGGGTTGAATATTGATCAGGGTATTGGAAGAATTGCCCTGCTTCTTTCCTCATGGTGAGATGGGATTTGTTTCTCCAAGTGGTAACACTTCTAACAGTGCAAAATTTCCTTAGAACTGTATTGAAGTTGTCAATCATAATCTCAAATTCAGTGGTTAACCTTAAAATTGTTCCAAGCCTTGAAAATCGAAATGCAAATCTAAAAAGCAGTGTAATATTACAAGAGGAAATACACAGCCCATCAACAGATGGATGCATGTGGCTGTTCTTGGGTGAAGTGATAAATCAGTGCATGTGTTATTGTTTGGACCATGGAAGCCTATGATACTTACCCTTGCAGTCTCGGTGCACTTTCTAGCAAATGTTGAGTCCCTAAAAAGGTTGTGGGTACAAACTTTCATTAGTGGCTGGCAACTGCAGTGCACACGTATATAAATAAATTAGTACTGGGTGTGCTCTTGATCTGATGCTTGCTGGTTCAAGCCCCATGTTGACATCACATTACCTTCAAGGTTCTTGATATGTTAAACTTAAATTCTGTCTTTAACCCAGATGGTTGTAAAATATTTATAGCATTGTTATAATACTACCAGTTCTGGAATCCTATCCTGGCTTGTTGTTTTTCTATCTCTCTCAAACAAAAGGATCTGGTCATTTCAATTGCTTCATATTGGAACTTCTTGCATTTGCTTATATGAGAAATAATCCTGTCACTTGACAAAGTGGAATTAGTTATGAATTGCTATGGGAGACTCCTGCATGGTGTATTTATAAGTTCAAGTTTGTTGCTCCTTCCCTCAAACTCATCTGCATGTACTCACACTCAGTGTCCCTTCATTGGTGTGGCTGATTCATCCCTGGATTTTTAATAGTATACATTAGCATTATGAAAGATTGTTTTGTCATTATTGTCAATTCGATCATATTGGTTTTGGTGAGTGGCAACTTTTACTTATGAGCACTATTTAGAATCCGGTCAGGTGCTATGTATGAAATCTCAGTCCGTTCCTTCTCTTATCTGTTCAGGAATGGTCAATGTTCTTGCTTCTGCAGCTACCTCTAATGTTCCCAAGGATTTATCATCAGCAAGCTTCCCTCCATAGCAATATCATCTGAAAATGCACCATCAGTTTTCACGTGTATACCGGCATCCAGGTCTACTTGCTGCCATTTATGGCTCTGCCACCGTCTCCAACTTCAGTTGTCAAGACTATCAATACTGATTAAGCATAAATTTCTCTCAACCTAAATAGTAGGAAGGTGGAAGCCATTTGTTTGCTTTCTGTCACAAACTCTGCCCCTCTCCCTGACAACTGCCTGAGATAAACCAGACTGATCACAACTTTGTCACGTATAGTCACAAGGTGAACTCTGACCACATAGACACAACATCACTAACAGTGTCTAATTTTACCTCCCCTGTCTCTGTCCTTGCCTCACCTGCTATCAACATCTTCTCTCATGCCTTTGTTATCTAGAGACTAAACTATCCAATGGGTTCCTAGCCAGCTTCCCATGTTTTATTCTCCATACTTTCTTTCATACAAAACTTTGTCCTTGTCTTGCACCAGGTAATGTTTTTCATCATCATGTACTCTGTTCTACAAATTCTACATCTCTCTTAAAGTTGGTATTCTTGTCTTCAAATTCCTCTGGCTGTGCTGTTCCTCATCTCTTTGATCATCTCTAGTTTTACAACCCTGTGAAATACCTGCACTTAGCCAATTCTGGCCTCTTGAGAATCCCTGGGTTTAATTTCACTGCCATTGCAAGGTTAGATTTTCAACTGCTGAGACTCTAAGCTCTGTAATTCCCTCCCTAAAAGTCTCAGCCTCTCTTTCCTTCTGCTAAGAAACTCTTCTTCACACTGTGCCTTAGTATCTCCTTATATAGTTTAGTGTCAACTTTTGACAACACTTCTATGAAAACTTTAGGATGTTTTATTAAGTTGGCACCATACGTATACAAATTGTTATAATTGCTGTCTTATCTGCTTCTAATCATCAGTGAAGTAGTAGTAATTATTGTCAATAGTGCTTAGTTTGGGTTCTGCAAGAATCATGAGGTCCGGGTTCCATTTTAATCTTAATACAAGTATTGGATAAGAGCTGAGTGCTAGTGCGCACGAGTAGCAGCAATTTGGAATTGTTTCCTGGATACTGTTGGAAATAACTTGGGAGAACAATCTAGAAAAGTAATGTTCGAACTTTGGGATTTGGCCTTTTTTCCAGACTGCTTTGCCTCTGCACTTCCTATGAGGTCCAGATGTGGCCTTTATTTGACATAATGGAGTGGGTCTCCACTGGCTTTTTCAAAGTGAAGATGTTTAGCTCGCATTTATGAGATTGTTTGAGCTGCGCAGACAAAGGGATTTCCTGACTCTGACCGTGGTGGCAGGTGGGTTCTCGAGCTATGCAGGTTGCTTCTGCTCCTGGTATATGCAACTGACTAGGAGGAGTAAAACATATAGAGGAAGTAAAGTTGCAATTGCTGGACTCTGAATGGAGAAAATAGCGCATTAGAACATTTAACAACAAATCTACCGACAAGAGATGATCCATTTCAGAAATGTTTAGAGTAAATCGCTGCATCAAATGACTTTTACTTATACTACCACAAATGGTATTCTCTTAATCTTACTCAGAATTTCAGATGGATTTCGGGCAAAGCCAAATGCTCCTTTGATTAGTCGTTAGCAGTATTATTTTAATAAAAGTGAAAACCATTTGTACGAAGTCATTGTGGAAATGATTATTTTAATTATTACCTTTTCCAAACGTTCTAAATTCAATGATTCTAGTATTGACATTCAGTATGAATGACCAACACTAAAGATACAAGCTTAAAATATCACTTCAATAAAACATCAGTGATTCAAGAATTTTGCTTAAGTTTGAAATCCGATGGTGGTTTCATCCTATTCAGACGGAGGGCCCTCAGGTCACCCATCTGAGACTTCCACCTGGGCTCCGTAGCTGTAATGACACTGCTACAGAGGACCTTACATTTACTTCTCGATCAAAACATGATCAGTCATGATCTAGCATCAAACTTCCAGGCATATGTCCAACTACAGTTGTTAACCTGAAAGATTAATTGGGTACTCTGATGACTAATGTCTGATCAAATGAAATGCTGAAGGGTAGTAAGTGCCTGTAAAACCATTTTTCATGGAAGTCAATGCTTTGAGAGAGAAAACTATCAAGGAAACATGATTTTTCCTCTTTATCTATTTTGGTCTCTGTGGAAGGTATCAATTGCCTTCTGGGATATGTTTCCATGATGCAATAAGCACCTAACTAAAGGGGCTATTTCTGTATGAATCTTCAGTAGGAATCAGAGTTATTGACTGTTTATTGAAGGAGATCAGAGGCAAGCCTAATCCTGATCTCTCCCATTGTCCACATTTCTGCTTCTGCTCAAGACTACTGCAAAGATTGAGTTTACATGCTTAAAAGTGTTTAGTTTTTTTATAGTCTTTATAACAAGACATTAATCAAAATTTACACTCATGGGAAAATTCCAGGAGTTTAAGACTTATGGTAACGTGAATTTATAATAAGTATTTTACAGTGACTCAATTGTGACTTTGATATCACCTAGTAAAAGTGAAATGTAGAAGATTGTAAGATGCCAAAGAATATTGTCAAACTTGGGTAATTGGAAGGTAGGAGCGCATTTTACAGAATTTTGTACATCCCTTTTGAGAAAAATGTCACATTGGGAAAAATGTGACTCGTTGGAAGTATGGAGATAAATTTGCAGAGTAAGATGAGATAATCTTTAAATTAAGATCACTGGTGCTCATTATGACTAATATATCATTATGGTTATAAAATTTACAGAAGTCTCGGACTTCCTTTTATATGAAATTTCGCATTAAATAAAA